GCAGACATGAAAATCTATTTTTCTAACACTTTATTTTCACAATTTCTTTAACCACTTGAAGACCAGGTGTTTCAGTGTACGTGGCCAGTCATATAGGCACAAAGTGCCAAGACGTACACTGTACGTCTCCCGTCACGAAGGGGTTAATCACCACTACAAGTTTTTTTTTTTTTACTGTATAATAAAAAAAGTACCGAAAATGTTGAAAAAAAACCTGTTCTCCCTACGTTATGTTATAAAACATCTATTATTACCCAATTTTTTGGTAAAATATAAAAGACGGGGTCACGTCGGGTAAATAGACACCAAACATGTCAAGCTTTAAAATTGCGCGCACCCGTTAAATCTCAAAAAACTACAAAACTCAAAATTGACCATAGCCGACGTTTTAAAAGCTTTTACCGCTCATCAGTTTAGTGTTATCAGTGATTGATGACCCTAGAATTATTGCTCTCATGCCGACGTTAGTGGCGATATGTAACATGTGCGGCGCAATGGATGTAATTGTCGTTTTCGCACGTAGGCGGGCTTGACGCATGTTTGTGGGGGCAGGGGACTTACATTTTTTTAAATTGCTTTGATATGTGATTTTTATTTTTTTTAGTAACAAATTTTTGTAAACCTTTTTTTTTTTTCCACTGAACTCTATTGCTATAACATAGGGAGCAAGCAAGCTCCCTATGTGATTGCCAATTTGCAGTGACAGGTCCTCTTTATGGAGACATCAGGGGTCTTAAGACCCCTAATGTCACCTAGGGACCCCCAGAGAAGCTGATGAAGCAGAGACATGCTTCACCAGCTTCTCTCCGGTTTCTGTACCGGAGAGTGACACTGCATGCAGGCAGTGATGCAATACACATCACTGCCTGTTACAAATATAAAGTTATTTTAAGTCCGATCCTCCAATCAGCCGTCCCCCAGGTAATCGGTACTCACCAGAGTCGGTGACTATATATAGTATAATCACTCAGGAGCGGAAGACTTCTGATCTCCCAGTTCCGATTCCCTCAAAATCACCCGACAGCAGACCGAACACTTTCAAGCGCTTATCCCTTGCAGTCTACGTGGAGGTCCCGGCTCTCTGTTGAAAGCAGATGCCGGCTACTCTCATCCGTGGACAACAGCGGTTATGTACGATCCCGATCAGTGTTTTGTTAGGGTTATGGGAGAGAAAAAACAGCCCTCATGGTGCGGTACATCCAACAAAGTATATTTATTTAAAAATAGCAACTTACATCAAAGTTTCAAAACATCAGCCGGCCAAATAGAAAAAACAGGATAAAAAGCTCTCACATGAAAGCCACTAGCATAGTGCCTACTAAACAGTGAAAAGATCTGCCCCTTGACACGTTCCGTCACCTGACATATTCTGAAGGTCAATTTGGTGGATATATATATATACCTTTCTTAACAAGGTAATATATTATTTTATAATTTATATCTACATTTAATTTTCTTTATGGAAGCATTATAATTTACCTATAGCGCTGTGTTGTTATTTGTACAGTTAAGGAAGCTGGTCGGCGGGTAATGACTTGTCATCTAGCTTCCTGATTAGCTGTGAAGCCGGCCGGCATGTAATGACTTGCTGCTCGGCTTACTGATTAGCAGGGAAGCCGTCTCCATGCCCAGCTGTCACCAGGTGATGGAGAACCATGGAGCCAGCTTTCTGGGCAATCAGGAAGCCAGGGGGTGGGTAGTGACTCGCCGCCTTGCTTCCTGATTGGACAGCTTCTCTGCCTGGTTTTCTGATTGGCCAGAAGCCAGCTCCATGTTCCCTAGTGACGAGGGAGCATTAAGATAGCTTCCCGGCCAATCAGGAAGCTGGGCAGCGTGTAACGACTCGTCACCCGTCTTCCCGATACCGGATAGGCATCAGGAGCATTTGGGCGAGTACGAGGCTGTTTGGCTAGCTTGATGCTGATTGGCCTGGAAGCTGTCTTCCCAGTCGGGAGGCGGGTCCATGTTCCCCTACAGCACTCTGAAATAACTAATTGTACATGATAAAGATCAACCTACTGTGCAAAATTACGAATCGATTCGGCATACCGAATAACTAATTTGCCCAAAATAATGAATCATTCTAACGTAATGAATATGACGAAACAAAATATTTGCTTGACAAATAGAAAAAAAATATACATTTTTTTTGCCGGCACACATGCCTGACAGGTACTGCACTGTAGTGCTTTTGGGGTTTGCATATACAAATATTACATAGCTTCTTTGTCCAGGGAAAATGCAGGTACATTTATATGAGTACACCAGCTATTGTTAGATTGGGGGAAACAAATCATAAGAAATAAATACATGTTACAATCCCAATGACCGCTGGAGAGAATGAGCATATAAATGTAACCATTGATACTCCTGGAATAGCAATGATTACAGTTATGTGCTCATTCCCTCCAGTGGTTTCTTATATTGTAATATTGTATCTCCTTACTAACATATTTTATTTCCTAACATTATTTCCTATAATACTAACATATTTTTTTTCCTATAAGTCTCAGCTCCATCTACGAACATTCATATTTTCCCCATTCTCACAACAGCTGGTTATCTCATCCAGTATATGCAGTTTTACTGAATGAATTGGCCATGCAATTTTATTTATAAATAAACCCCCGGTTTTCTGTGTGCTGGGTTAATTGTAAGTATCTGTTCTTATTCTATATGTATGTACACTGCACTGTAGCACTTCTCGTGTGTTGTATGTTGGGTGTGATTCTTAATATTTGTTTTTATTCTATATGTAAAGCAGTAGCAGCTGCACTGCAGTACTTCTCTTGCCCTGTATTGTAATTCTCAATGTCTGTTCTTATTAGTTATGTATAGTTGCTGCACAGTAGCACTTCTTATTCTATATGCTTTGTAGCATTATTAGTATTTGATCTTATTCTTTATGTATGGTCAGTGCACGGTAGTACTTTTCTTGTTTTATGCTGTTATTTTCAGTATTTCTGTTTGTGTATGAACACTTCATTGTAGCAATCTTCTTGTTCTGTATGCTGGGTTTAATTATCTGTATCTGTTCTTATGTGTACAGATGTTGCACAGAACCATTTCTCTTTTTTTATATAGTGCCTTTAATTCTCATGATCTCTTATTATACCTAAATTGACACTGTACAGTAGTATTTCCGATCATCTCCCTGCAGAGATCAGTGACTGTCAGTCACCGCTCCCCGCAGGGATTTCCCCCTCCTCTTTCCAATCCTCCAGCGCTGAGTGGAGTAACAGACAGGGGAGGGGACGGGCATAGCTGACTCTGCTTCTAGATAGACAGAGCCCGCTGTCAATCAGCCAGAGGAGTGGATCTTGACAGTATTGTCGGGACCCGTCCCGGCTGCGGCGCTCTCTGCACATAGTGTGCAATAACCCGCTATACACTGAGTTTTGGGACACGGGAGGACATTAATATATGTCCTTCCGTGATCCTAAAGAGAACTATGGGAAAAAAGTTTACCTCATAGTTCTCCTTTTAAGGTACTCACAATAACATGCATTATGGCGTGTCACGCATGTTGGGTTAAGATAGCCCATTCTTTATAACTGGGCTGCCTGTAGGCGGGGTTCCCTCTTGGGGGTGTTGCGTGTGTGTTCCCTTCTGGGTTGGCTGTGTAACCCCGTGCATGCAACTTGAAACCAGACACCCCACGGTCAGGGGCCACGGCCTTGGCCTCGTGCAAACACTCCCTCACGTGTAGTACTGCGTACACAGGGCCTCATGGCTTCAACCGCCTCTGCGGTCTTCGGCGCTTCCTCCCCCTTAGGGAGGAAGGCCACCATGAACGGCACCCTGTGTCAGGCATAGCCCCAATGCACACCTACCCTTCTCAGATGGTTACAGCCACGATACAGTCCAACATCACACTCCGGTTGAACCCCACCTTCTCAAAGGTTGGAGGGAGAAGAACCAGTCCACACAGATAGTCTTTTTGTTGATTTTACTTGAAGGTAGAACAGAACAAAGTATACGTTTCAGCCACCCCCGGGTGGGATGACGGCACAATTCTTGTTACTTGCATGGTAATACACTTTAGAGAGAGAGAGGTACATCAGCCCAGGTGCAGCCCAGAGTCCACGACTACTTCGGCCATAGGCCCACTGGCAAATATTGTCAGTCTTCTAGCACTTTACTATTCTCCGTAATCCCCTCCTTTGTCAGTCCTAGCACGGTGGGTTTCCTTGTAGCTCTACATAGTCCTAGGCCTGGTCCTGTCCTTCCCATGGACCAGCATATAGTCCAGAAACAGTCTCTCTCCAGAGACTCTGCAGACAGTCCTGGACTTCTCCTGTACTCCTCTGAACAACCCCCTCCCCTCTCGGGCGCCCCCTATAAATCAACCTCTCCTGGGACACAGAGTTTCCCCAGGCCAGAGCTGCATCTATCTCCAGGGCCCCATGGGGGCATCTAGTGGCCGTTGGCCATACTGCACCTACCTACATGCCAATGCACCACAACGGCTGAAAAATGCATGGTATATGCGTTGTGATGCATTGCGGTGTGATGGGTTCTACTGTACAATGCATTGAGGTGCCATTTACAATTCAGCCTCAAGTTTTTACATTGAGGCTGCCGTATACTCAGAAAGGTCAGCTTTCCTAGATCTGTATTTTTCCATAGTGCAGAGTGGAAGGAAATGTGGTGGGGTGTTCCTTTAAGATGCTCTGCTAAAGGGCCCATGTGCATTGTGTGGTAAAACTCACACTTTAACTTTGCATTGCCACAGCACAAACACAGCCTCAATGTAAAAACTTGAAGCGTTGCAGTGATAACCACTACGAGGCGACAGCGTACTGCTGCCATTAGTTCGGCTGCGGCGGATGCTTGGCTGTCTCCGAGGCGCTTCAGTGCATTTCTCGTAATAACCATTAGAGGGCGATAGCGCACTCTGCGATAGCACGACAGTGGTGGATGGCAGGCTGTCTTTGGTAAACAAACGATGGCTGCTCTAGACTAACTGTCGCGATGTTTCCTGAGGAAGTTCTTCCTGTTTGGGCGGAAGTTGTGTTTCTACCTTTAGAGGTATGCATAGATGGATGCAGTGGGAAGGAAAACGCTGCTGGTCCGGCATTTGCCGACTGAGCTCAGTCTGCAGGAGCAGAGGGAGCTGCTGGAGAAGAGCGGAGCGGCCAGTGTGCGCCTGTGTTCCGGGAGGACGAGGGGGAACTTGGTAAGAGAAGAACACAGATCCCCGGTGTCTTTGGTGGGGCTTTATCTGTGTGTGTGTGTATATATGGTGTTATTGAAGCCACGCCCCTCTGTATGCTCCAACCATGTGTCATGTATGCAGTGAGTTCTACATGTTCATTTTTAGCTCCAGGATTGATCTGTCATGTAAACTTACATTGGTCCAGCTTGGCTCGATGTAAGTATCCATATCCCGAGGGCTGCTGAGAGAGCTGAAAATCACTATAGTAGTCCACACTACATACAGTGACAGCTGAGATCTTCCAGGTCAGGAATGGACAACTCAGGCCCGATGTTCTGTCGAAACTTCCAACTCCTCGAGATCTCCAACCATCTGACTTCCGGTTTACTTAGAAGTAAGAGGTTTGGCCGAGAAGGCTGTACTGCACGTGCGCCCCCTGCAACGTTTCCTTATACACATACTACACAGCAATAAAGTATTAAAATGAACTAGGGTCACACTAATACAGCACGCTATTAATCTGAGTTGCCCCACTTTATCTGCGTCGCTTGCGGCAATATTGAGTGGGGCAATTCAGATTAATAACGTGCTGTATTAGTGTGACCCTAGTTCATTTTAATACTTTATTGCTGTGTAGTATGTGTATAAGGAAACGTTGCAGGGGGCGCACGTGCAGTACAGCCTTCTCGGCCAAACCTCTTACTTCTAAGTAAACCGGAAGTCAGATGGTTGGAGATCTCGAGGATTTGGAATTTTCGACAGGACACTGACAGCTGTGCTTTAACTACAAATCCCACCATTCCTCTGCGAGTCATGCCTGTAACTGTCAGTCTTGCAATGCCTCATGGGACATGTAGTTCCACAGCAGCTGAAGGGCCAGTGTTGCCCCCCCTGTTCTAGGTGATGTCATCTGCACTTCTCCACTTCTCCCACTGGTGGAGGTGTAGAGCAAGAGACTCCCTATGATCAGTGTGCAGAGCTGCTGGAGCCACAGCCTGAAGATCACAACTGTCACCTTTATGTAACACAAACTACTACAGTGATATTTATCATCCTCGGTGGCCCTCTGGTCATCAGATATGAATGGATACTTCGAGCCAAGCTTTACCAGAGTAAGTAGCCCCCCAAAAAATTGGAGTTCTGCTTGTAATGTTTTTAATGGGATAGCTTACATTAAGGAAAAAAAATTCAAATAAAATAACTATAAATGCAAACACTTTGTGTAAAGAAATCAGTGTTAATTTTTTGCATCGGGGTCAGCAAAGCATGGCAACCACAACCAGTGGATTGCAGGTGCTCTGCACAAGCTTCTGCAGTCTGTTCCCCCCAGGTCCATTCTGAGGTCCAGATCTTCGTGTTATGGGACTGGAGGAAGTAATTAATGGACTACAAGTGCAGTGACGTCACCGCGCTTGTACTCCATTTAGATCTAAGACTGCCTCCTGCTGCGGTGACAGAAGGGACTTAGTCTTTTTCATTCACAGATCCTGTAAATGGATCTTTGAATGAAAGATACAGCTGTGTGCCCGGTGCCAAATTAAAATAATTTTAAAAGATACAGGAGCTTTCGGCGTGAACTACCCCGCAATTTAGTTAAGGGGCTGGTGAAGGAGTCACTTTGGGGGCTGTGGACTGTGACCATATTTCATGTTGCACCCTAAATGTTGGTGTAACATGAAACATGACCAAAACGGTGGACTGTTCTTTTAAGTCGGGATGCACCGATACCACTTTGTTAAGACCGAGTACGAGTACCGATACTTTTTCTTAGGGACAGGTCACATTTTTTCTAATGCAATACAAACTAATGATTTTAGGTAAGTTTCTTAATATTATGATTCATGAGATGACGAGGGAGCATGACGCCGGCTTCCCGGCCAATCAGAATGCCGGGTGCTGCGTCATTACACGACACCGGGCTTCCGGATTGGCTAGCTTTCTGATAAATCGGGAAGCCGGGCAGCGCGTCATTACACGCTACCCGGCTTCCTGATTTGCCGGGAGGTCGGCTCCATGCTCTCTCATCACAAGTGACGAGGGAGCATGACGCCGGCTTCCCGGCCAATCAGAATGCCGGGTGCTGCGTCATTACACGACACCGGGCTTCCGGATTGGCTAGCTTCCTGATACAGGAAGTACTCGTGCTAGGCATCGGTGCATTTTGGCGAGTACGAGTACTCACCCAAATACTCGGTATTGGCACCAATACTAGTATCGGTATCGGTGCACCCCTACTTTTAAGCAGTCCTTAATACTTTTAGATGGCTAATTCAGGAACCAGGTTTGCTGGGCTGTTTGTTAGATATGAGAAGGGCACCATTTTGGCTTTGGTTGTTTCAGGAGAGCCTGACTGATGCAAGAGACGACACTGAATACTTAACCTCTAAGGTGAGTCTACACTTGGTTCTCTTCAAGCGGTATAGTTTCCGGCGCATTGTTCAACGCTTGACTTTTCCAGCAGTGTGGAATAACTACATCCCCTGCTGTGCTCAGTGGTTCCTCCATTAGCCATCAGGTCACTTTTGTGTCTCTGAGTTCAGAGAGAAAATGTTGAAAATGTCATCTGAAATCTGTCATTGGTCTAAACATTCTATTTCTGTTTTTGTTTTTTTTAGAAGCATGTGGCTTTTGCAACGTATCCAAATGAATATGCTGCTGCAAAGGTATCAACTCCTGTTTTATATACTGCATGTCTTCTACTAAGACTATCTACTATGCTGCCTTATATAAGGCATGTTGGCTATGCATATCATAGTATAAACGGATCTGGAACAAACAGGCAGATGTGGAAATGTAGAGTTCATTCCGGGCTCCTAATCTTTATACTTGGTTCAAGTCATAAATTACTGATGCCATTAGATCAATGTGACAGATGGGTAAATAGTATATCCAGAATGAGAGGCCAGCAATGGCAGTCTTGGTGCTTCCCCACTAGAGTTTTTGATTTAAAACCCCAACAGCAGTTTCATGCGGTATAATACTTACCTCTTCATTGGCTATTGTGTCCTGTCTTTGCTTTGATGAAGCGCTACAACCTCCATTAGAATCTTTGGTGTTTTTAGGTGTCCCCTGGTGTGGACTGTGGTTTCATCTTCTGACTCGTGTCTCACTACAGGACCAGTTGGGATGTGGGTGCTGGTGGTTGAAACCTTAGCAGCCCCACCAATACTTTGTAAGTCACTGATCGGAATAATGATGTAGTTTAGGACCGCTGAATATCTGGCATGCTTGTTCCAAATCAATGACAGCATTGACACCTGAGCCAGCTAGGAAACTGGCATTTTTTAGAGAAGTCACCAATTCCTGTCAGTACATGTTTCCTTTAATGATACGTAATCGGTTTAGCAAAATAAAGGTGTTTGAAGGACATCAAGTTTGAAAAACTCTGCAGCCGTTCTTATGGAAATACAGAGGAATGCTTTTTTCCTCTTCTTGCAGAATGTTGTTGTCTCTATTACTGCATGTTTTTTTTATAGGTCTCCTCATATAAAGTCTCTAAATGTTATTTCAAGCACCTAATTTATGAAATTCCATTTAAAATGTACAAGCGCTCTGAAATGACCACACACTGTTTCATTCCCAGGCTCTTTCAGTACTTCACCAGCTCACAGTGTTAGGTCACACACTTGTGGTTGAATATGCTAAGGAGAACCTTGTTCACTTACCAGACCAGCCATCTTTCTCTGAAAAAAAGAAAAGGTTTGTGGATTTTTATTTTCTATATAGATTAAGATGTGATTAAACTACATAAAACATGTGTGCTTATCTTGTTAGTGTTATGCCATGGAACCTACACCCACTGTAGGTGACACCACCACAAGGGCATTAAAGTAGTATTAAGATCTGGGCTCAGACTCCCGGCGGCAAAAGTCGCCGGGAGTCTGTTTAAACAGCCCCGATGCTGGCGACGTACACTGTACGTCGTCAGTCACGAAGGGGTTAATGCATTATCTGCATTAGGGTAAAAACGGCCCAGCACCTTTTTTCTACCCCAGTCCCCCACACACTTAGCTGTCAGCTGCGCTCGTCCCCGCCGCCAGTCCGAAGTGATCCTCTGTTCCCCGAACGTCCGGGTTGCGGGAGGAGGATACTGATGGCAGAGGAGCCATAGGCTCCTTCAGCCATCAATCAAAGGGAAGGGGCATGGCCTGCCACAGGGCTGTGTGTGTCTGGACGCACACAGCCACGGCAGAAACGAGCGGGCACGGGTGCCTCCACTAGATCAATGGTGGCACCCGTGCAGGGGGTGGGGGGAAAAGCGCTGCGGGGAGCCACTAGAAACAAGGATATAGAAACGTTTAAAGAAAAAGAGCAACAGCCTCAAGCAAAGGAGGGTCTCCTTTTAAAGGAGAAAGTAAAAAAAAAATAGGCTTTAATATCACTTTAACTTTGCTAGGGCTTGGACTTGTGTACTTAGTCTTAGTTCACCTTTCTTTGTTTCATGTTGCACCCATATTTAGGGTATAACATGGTCACATTCCAGAACCACCCTAACACATTTACCTGAAGTGCAATGTCTTTCTCCCATCAGCCTTCTGTCTGTGTTTAAACTCAGCATAGCTGTACATGACTAAACCTACACAGTCGCATCATCCATTCACAAATCAGTTAACAGGGATCTGTAAATTAAAAGAGAAGTCCCACTGTGGCACAGGGATTCGCAGATCTCAGTGGAAAGAAAAAGTGCGGTGATGTCAAGTCACTTCCTCCAACCCCATAACGGTAGGTCTGTACCTCCATCCCGACCTGGGGCAGGCATGTAAACACTGTAGGTTTTAATAAATTTACATTTTTTATTTTATTATTTATTCATTTGAGTGCATTTATTGTTATACAAGTGAATTTTTAGGTGTGGTCTAGTGGGCCATATATGGGGACGTCGGCTTCAAGATCTTCATGTTAAGATCTCTTGGTGTTCCCACTCCTTCTGTTGCATTAGTCATAAAGTAAGATAAATGACAAATTCAGAAAGAGTGAGATCCTTCTAAAGCCAATGCAGATGTGCATCCCTGGAAAAATGGGCAAAAAAAATATTTGGACACCATGGTTAAGAGATCTAAGATGACTATTGTAGGGTATTACTTTCCAACTGATTACAAAAACCAGTGCTGAGAAGACATGGCCCCATAAGTGCATTTTGTTTTAAGACACGTGTATCTGCAAAGCCTGCAAAAGATGAGCCTTTCTCATTAAATTAGTCAATATCTATGTAGACCCCATAAGCAGTCTGGACCCAAATGTCAGTACCACATCTGCTTGTATGTACAGCCTCCCAGGAGCCAGTGGCCTCCGCAGCACTGCCCAAGCACTGACAACCGGTTATAGAGAATAATGGAGAATTGACGGTGGGATGCAGCGGTGTCCAAGGTTTTATACACATTTTGACTAATTTGATGAGAAGGGTGGGCGAGGGCAGGGTCTTTTGGAGCTCTCTATATTTTCTACTATTCTCCAAGGAAACATTTAAGTGCATTATAAGCCAATTCAATGTAAAGTTTCACGTTTTTATTCCGGTAGAAACATTTCTGGCTGTTATAATTTCCTGTCTTTTCTCTCAACAGTGGGGACAAAGCAGATGAATGTAAAGACTCAAAGCTCCCAAGCCAGGTTTCCATTGAGAAGGGAATAGCACCAAATCATGGGTACGCCATATTGATTGACAACTACCATTATGATTGTGTCTGTAAAGCCTCTCACATTGCAACATGTATGTCTGCATTAAACAAAACAAGTGCTTTCCAAAGCACTAAAACTCTAAGTTTTTTTTTCTAAAATGCTTTTTTAGCAATATCAATTCACAATTTCAAGGAAAACTATAGCTCCAACTAGCACCGGTGTTTCGGTATCGAGTACGAGTAACAATATTTTCTTTCGGTACTCGCCGATACCGAGTACCGATACTGGCATAGAGCTGGCTTCCCGGGAAGCTAGACAGCGGGTAATGACATGCCGCCTGCTTCCTGATTGCCCAGGAAGCCGGCCCCATGTTGTTTTGCTGGCTCGATTGTGGTTGGCCTGGAAACTGGCTTCTCAGCCAATCAGGGAGGCGGGTCATTACTGATTGGCTAGGAAGCTGGCTCCATGCTGATTGGCCAGGAAGCCGGCTCCATGTTCCCCCTACGGCACTGCCAGTCAGAGGAAGTTTTCCTCTGCCTGGAAGTTCCGCTATCGGAGCATTTGGACGAGTAATCACCCAAATACTCAGTACAGTGCATCCCTAGCCCCAACTATAGCCCTAGCATTTATGTGAAAGTAAATAACCTTTTAGGGTGCTCAGTTGCCTCCAACAGTGTGAGGTCATTCTTCCTGCCCCACATCTTCTAGCCAAGTAGGTTGGACTGAAAAAGATGCTTGGCTCCAATTAAGCCAAAGACATTTAAGCTCCTTGCTGTGTGTAAAGGTACACACACAAACACACACACCTGCATTTAATGGTTTTATCAATAAAAATCATCAATATCAAATATTTGAAAACATCTTTTTTTTGTATAGTATACAGGTATTCCTCACTTAACGACCGAGTTCCGTTCCTACGACCAGGTCGTTAAGTGAGGAACTCTATACAGTACTGTACTGCATTAGTACAGTACTGTATAGCGTTGCCGATGTACAGTACTGAACAGTGTACTGTACATCGCGCAATGAAAATACTCACGGGGACGCGCTGTGAAGAACGGAGGACGTCACTTCCCCCGGTGACGCGTCGCACTGGCGCTGACGCGCGAGGTCGGAGGTCGCTCGGAGGACGGTCGTAAGTGCGAGTGGTCGCAAAACAGGTAAGTCGTTAAGCGAGGAGTATCTGTAGTTTGTAATTATAAACATATGCAGCCACTGAAGTGCCACACAGCAGATTTTTTCTATTGTTCCTCTTCTTATTTCACATCTTTGGTTAGCTGATTTATTGAAAACAATGCACTCTGTGTATGGATAATATCTTATCTCAACGGCAGGAATGACCTTGGGTTCACCCGGGGCCGTAGCTGATTGGGCTGACACTGATGGCTTCCTTACGGGTTTGGATGATTTGGCAAAGCATTACACATAATCTCTCTGGACCAATCGCAATTAAAAAAAAACTTTTTGTTTCTTAGGGTTCCAGCTTATAAGGTTAATAGGACAGCCAGGAAAGTAACTTAGCTAGAAGGAAAGGTTAACGATGGCAGCCTCCATATTTTGCTTGTGACCTGTTTCCTTCAACCACAGTTGCAGTGTTTGTAGGATAGTAAGGGCCCGTTCACACCAGATGCAGTGCTTTACGGCCCGATTCTTGCCAGAACGCACCGCCTCGCATTGCGGCCGGCACACTTTTTTTGTGGGGCGGGAGGGGCGTGGCAGGCCGTAGAAGTGAATGGCACCGTTGCTAAGCCCTCCGTCTGCAATGCGATCGGCTGCACGGGATCGCAAGGCACATTATGCCTGCGGTCCAGTCCGCTGCGATCAAAATGCAGTGAGCGCTATTTTCATAGCACCGGACCGTAGGCATAATGTGCCTTGCAATCCCGTGCGGCCGGAGGGCGTGGCAGAAAATTGAAGTGAATGGCACCCCTCCTGCCTCACAAAAAAGTGAGCCGGCCGCAATTCTGGCCAGATTCGGGCCGGAAAGCACTCAGGGGTGTGGAATCCATATCGCCCGACGCCCAGGACATGCACTTTCGGGCGCCGGGCGAGTTTTTTTTTTACATTTAGCCCTGCTCCGGACAAGCAGAGCTAAATGTACAGCGTGGGTCCGCCGCTCGTTTTTATACAAGTGGTCTAATTAGATCACTTGTATGAAAGGATCGGCGGCTATTGTGTGCGGTCACCGCCGCTGTGACCACGGCACACAAGCTCACCATAGAGGACGTTCTTTGTCTGCTCTGTGTAATCACTGAGACCGTGGCACTGTGATCACAGCGCCACCTGTCTCAGCCGTCAGGAACTGCACAGATCAGTTCTGTGTTGGAGGGCAGGTTCCATAGAGAGAACCTGTTGTCTCCAAACTATCACATAGGAGTTTTAAGCCCTATGTGATAGGAATAAAATGAAGTGGGAGAAAAATAATAAATTAAAACAAATAAAGTTATAAAAATTAAAAAAAAAAAAAGTGATAAAGTAAAAAAAAAAGTTAAAACCAACCACCCTGCCACCGTCATCTGCATGCAAATAAATGCATGCATAGGACATTGTGCGTGTGAGTTGAGTGCTGCCGCCATTGCACTGTGTGCCGTATTGTGGTAGCCAAGCAGCAGCACTCTCCTTCGCGCACAATGTGCATTAAAGGAGAACTATGGGGTCAGTGTTTTTCCCCATAGTTCCCCTAAGGGTCACAGGAGGATATATACTAGCGTCCTCCCGTGACCCAAATCTCAGTATACCGCGAGCTACAGCTCACTATATACTGAGAGCGCCGCAGCCGACACGGATCCTGACATTACTGTCGATATCCACCCAGCTGCATGATTGACAGCTGGCTCTGCCTATCTAGAGGCAGAGCCAGCTGTACCCGCCCCCTCCCCGTTCGTTCCTCCAGTCAGTGCTGGAGGATCGGAGCGGGGAGGGGGAGAATCCCTGCAGGGAGCCGTGAGTGACAGTTACGGCCCTCTGCAGGGACAGGACGGTATGTGTTCCCTCACTTCCTGATCTAAAGAGCCGACCTGTGACAGTTTCATTGTCACACATTGGCTCGAACTATGAGGCTGAGTGAAAATCACTCACCTCATAGTCCTCCTTTTAAAGAGCAAGCTCACTTTCCCAAGTAATATGGGAAAAGGGAATTACCCAATCAAATCTGAACCCCTTCCCCACCAACTTCCCGTGCAATCAGAAAGCGGGGCAGCGACTAATGACCCACCCCGGTTTCCTGATTGGCCCAGGAAGCCGGCTTCCCGGCCAATCAGGCCATTATTCACCGCCCGGTTTCCTGATTGGCTGGAAAGCCGGTTTCCTGGCCATGCACGATCAAGCCGGCCAAACAACTTGGAGTCGGCTTCCCTAGCAATCACGAAGCTGGGTAGCATGTAATTACCTGCTGCCCAGCTTCCTGATGGCATGGGCAGGCTTCTCGGGCAAACAGAATAATTGCTCGTGCTCAATACCCAAAAACCTATATCAGTGCATCCCTAGTTTTGATTAAAACAATTTTTTTGTATTGGGACAAGTACATTGTCATGAGGGACAAGTAGATTGGGCCCCCGCTTTAGCCCTTAGACAAGTAGTTTATTTTTTTTAATTTCCACACCCCTGGCACTGCAACTGGTGTGAACAGGCCCTTAAAGTAATTAACTTCCCTTGTTGGCTGGAGTTCCTCTTTTTTAAAAAAGGTTGATGCATTATAAATGTATCAATCGGTATTTTTAGAATGTATATTTTATTAGATGACGACGTTTACGTTTTTTGATGTAGTTTCTGTGCTCTGTATACCATTGGAGTGTAAACTGAGCCTGACTCTAGGTGGGCGCTTCTAGTCGTAATGATACAATATAATGCTCTGCTAGTGAAATTGTTATATAAATGTACACCTCTTGGAAAACTCCAGTATTCATTTGGGAAGATGAGATTTCTACAGCTGTGAGAATTGTTACAGGCCAGTCTATGGTAAAATGCGTGCATGTTAAATATTAATCCGAAACCTGCACCAAGGTCTTACTGGAAGTAAACATCTATTTTGAGATCTGGTTTTATAACTTGTTGTACTGACATTGTGTTCTATACCTTTTTTATCTTCGTGTTTTCCAGCATGTACATACCATATACTTTTCCTAAACACTCTTTCCTACTGTTCTGCTGTGTAGTTTTTTGTATCCTTTTATTTTTTGGCTATTGGGGTGTATTCTGAAGATAAGTGTGTTCATATGAATAGGGAAACTTTTTAGAAAAGCGGTGTAAAATGTTTGTTTTGTCACACCATGCCGTGTCCTTGTTTTCACTGCTGTTATAAAGATTTGAGATGGCAAGCGCCTGAGGTTTTCTTCAAAGTCCTAAAATGAAGCGGAACAAAAGCAGTTTTTAGACTGAGCTGTGCATGCGCATCTCACTGTACAGTCTTGGCACGATTGTGTGCCTGGATTAGGTAACTCCCATGTACGAGAGTTTAATTTCACATCCGGGCCAATCAAGACAGTCTAAAGACTCTGAACCCAGAGAAAGACCAGGAGAAGATGGAAGTGCACATTTCATGCTGTTATAGCACCAAAATGTGCAGAATACCCCAGACGTATTGAAGTACTGTGCATTCAACTACGTATGAAGCTTAGTGAACAAAACCAGTCTGTGTGAGCCCTTACTCAGAACAGAACCAGATTTAGTGCCTGTATATTTTAGTTATTATTCAGGATTTATATAACGCCAACAGTTTGTGCATCGCTTTAAAATATAAGGAAGACATTACAATCCCAATACAATTCAAGACAAAATGGTAAGGAGGGCCAGATGACTATATATCTGCATTAAATGCATTAAACATTGTGAAACCTAGTTGCTGTACAAAAAAAAACAAAAACAAATTGGCAAAATAATGGGCATATTAATGTGGATAAGGAAAAATACAAATTGACTTCTTGAGGGTCTTTCCATGAAAAAAAGTATATTTCCGGTTGACAGGTGTAAATATTTATACCCAACTTTATTATTGCGCATTGTACTATATGCAACATATGCAAATAAA